ATGAAACACAAGATGAATAGTGTGAAACACAATACATAAAAACTTGGTAAGCAAACCAATTTTTTTTTTAAAAAAGAAGTAAGTGCAGGAACATGAGAGAACATGTGTGATCTTAGAAAAACTGGTTTTGTACTATGGCTGCTGTTGATGGGGACAGTTCACATTTTTGGAGTTAGACGCAGGACACGGCCATTCCCATGCCATCCTTGCACTCTTTACATCTACTTTTAGCCAAGGTCCGTCAGACATTTTCAGTGATATCTCTCTTTTCATAACCTCCTCTGACTCCAGCTTGAATTTCTGGTAGTTCCCTGGTAATGTGCTGTTCCAGCGATTTTTTTTTAAAGTTTAAAATAAAGCCTTATCTTAATTGTGATTGTTCCAGTGATTTTTTTTAAAAAAATAATCTCCACCACGGTTGTACTTGTCTGTGATATTAATGACATTATTTGATAATTTCTACATTTTTAATCACTTTTTTTAACATTTATGTGGTTTATTAAGGAAGTTAACATCTTCAATTCAGGTTGGAAGCAGAATACAAACTTTCTGTCTGGACTGGTTTCACTTAGTTTTACTAAATGGTCTACTGGACTATTTAAATGCAAATCTACTAATTTAGAAGCAATTTTTTTTAATGGGAACAAATATGGATCTCTTCCAGTCAGCTGAACAGGTAGCTTCTTCATATTTGCTGGCATAGACTTGTAAACACATCCAGGGCTATATTTGTTTCCTGAAACACCTCAACTGGTATTCAATTAATTCTTGGAGCATTATTTTTTGCCAATGCTTCAGTGCAGCTTGAACGTCTTCCATTGGTACTACTGGTTCTTCATCATATACTACTTTCTGAAATGATTTAATGTTGATCAATTCTTATTGGTACTGTGACTGTGTATTCTTTTTTATTAATTAATTTTAATGAAATTTTTCAGAGACTTTGGATTTCCATTCATTCACTGTAGCACTTTTTTTCCTGCCCAACCCCCACAGTTCACTCTTCTCTTTGAAAAGTAAAAGAAAAATTCTTTCATTGTTATACAATCCCTCCCCCTAGTCCACTCCACTATGCAGCCTCTATTCCGGACTTCTGTAATGACAATGATATCCACTCATATATCCCTTTTAAACAGTTCTCTCCCTCATTTGTTTCAATGCAGTTTCTATAATTTATCCCATCTTTCTCAATTTTCCCCCCAACCCCGATGTCAGTATGGTTTTACAACAGTGGCATTATGCAGTATTTGTCCTTTTGTGACTGAAATATTTCCCTCAGCATAATGTCCTCCAAGGCCATCCATTTTGTATAATATTTCATGAGTTCTTATTTTTCAATGCAGCATAGTATTCCATTGTGTGAATATACCACAGCTTCTCTATCCATTCCTTTGTTGATGGGCACTTAGGTTGTTTCCCACTCTTTGCTATTTTGAACAAAGCTGTGATAAACATGGGTATGTAGACTCTATGTATTCTTTTAATCTTCTTTTGATGTTTCCTGCATCATTCAGTATTTTTCCTGTGTAGTCTTTTTGCATTGTAACTTGATGCTTGAATTTGTTTTTCAAATCTTTCAGCCTGAGAAATGTTGAGTGTCTTCTTCCCCTTTGGTTTTCTAACCCAAGGGCTTTGCATGTTTCATTATGATACTCTGCTTTGTCCTCTAAAACTGTCCTTTGAAAGCTCTCTTACTTCAGCATTTCTTCTGCTTCTTTTGACTTTTCTCTATAGTAGTGCAATTTTCAGTCTTTTCCAACATTCATTTGGTCTTCTCTCTCTTGTCTTTGAAATGACCTTTTGAATCCTTGATGTCATTCCACAGCTCAACGCACCTTAAGATGGTAACTATGTTGAGTAACTTAGAATATTGAATTTCTTGTAGGTTGAATTTTGACTCCTCCAGAGTAAGTCCACAAAGTGATTTTGCATTTGACCTTCTATGAAATAAGGGTCTTCGCAGATGTGATTAAGGTCAGTATCATAGACTTAATTGTGTTCCCCCAAAATATAGGTATGTAATGATACAATGTAGAAGTTGTGTAATGGACCCCATACTCTGATAAACTAAATAGCCTTAAAAAGGTTAAGGATGGAATGTAAAGCTCCTTAATGGCATCACAGCTCTGAGCTGATGAAAGAGGAATTTCTTTAGTATTTGACTGGTAACACTTTTTATCTCACATAAGATAAAAGGTGTGCAAAGTGAACCTAGAGGAGAGAGCTCAGAACCACCAAGAACAAATTGCCAAGAATAAAGTGCTTTTTTTTTTCTGCACTAGAAAACTCTTTGGCACCAGAGAATGCTAAGAGATCCCCAAGGACAGCAGGCCTACAGATGTTGAAGGAAACCTTTTTCTAGGAGAGACAGAGAGAGAAGAGAGAAGAGAGAGAGAAGAGAGAAGAGAGAAGAAAGAAGAGAGAAAGGACAATGTCCCCTGCTGGCCCAGTTGATTTGAACGGCTAGTCTCCCAAACTAGGAAAGAAATTTGTAGGGGTGATAAGCTTGTTAAAGCCAATCACTGGTGCTATGTCTATCAGGGAGCATTGGTGGCCTAGTAGCAAGAAGCTGTGTAATCCCATCAACAGTTTTTAGGCAGGAGAAGGATCTGAAAACCTGTTGGAGGGTCAGCTATGTGTCAGTTCTGCCTGTCTGGTACACAACAACACATAAAATGAAGACAATAGAAATCTTAAAAAAGGATCATCTTAAAAGATTGTTGTTGGCAGATGTAGTAAAATAAACTACAACTCATAGTAACCTTATAAAAAAGTGATGAGAACTTTATCCTGCACTATTCTCATGACTACTGTCATGTTCAAGCTCATGTTGTAGTCACTGTGCCAATCCACCTTGTTGAGGGTCTTCCTCTCTTTCACTATTTTCCTATACACTTTTAATTAGGGTGGCCCTAAACCAAAATTTATGGTGGTCTAGTGGCAAGAAGTTGCACTGCAATCCGGAAGGCACAGGGTTCTGAGGCTACTTAGCTGCTCCCTGGGAGAAGGATGGGCAATCTCTTTCCATGTGATTAACTAACTGCCTCCGAAAATCCACTGGAGGGTCAGCTGTGAGTTGGTTCCAACACTGTGGTACTCAACAACAACAACAACATTAGAGATCTTTAATAGTTCTAGAAAAGCAGAGCCATAGAGACACAGAAGGCTATGTGAAGACTGAGGCAGAAATTGGAGTTGTATGGCAGGAGTGGTATCCATTTCCTAAACAACTTTCCTCTGGAAACTCTATGAACTTTGAAAAATGATGATAGCTATACAAAGGCTTCAGGCCTTTTGTTCATAGGGTTGCTATGAGTGGTGCTCGACTTAACGGCAATCAACAACAAAAAACTTAGATCACCAAGGACTGCTAGAATCTAAGAGACAGTCATGGAATACATTTCTCTTTGATTCTCAGAGGGAAATAACCCTGAAGATATCTCTATTTTGGACTTTCATGTGCAGAGCATTGAGAGACTAAATATGCTTTATTTTAAGCTATCAAGGTTCTGGTAATTTGTTAGGGCAGCTTCTACATATCCAAGGTTTATCATTTAGATGTCTTTCCTAGTCCATCATTATCTCTTTATTTTGTGCTGAAGTAATTATTGTATTAAGGAGAGAGGATTAGAATAGGATACAAGCCCCACCCTACTATGTAAGCTCATGGGAGCTCAGCACTAGCTGCTTTCTCTTGGGGAACACTTGCCTGGGCCACAGCATCCAGCCTCCATTACCCACAGCCACCATCCAGCTACACAACTGACAGTCGACAGGATCCCGGCCCACCGTTCACCAGTTTCTCCAAAATCAGCCTGCCTATTGATGGTCACGTGACCAGTCTGAGCCTTTGTGAGTTCTGGTGAATCACCAAACACACAGGCCATAGAGGAATTTAGGAACTGAGCCACAGATGGAGCTGTTAATGTTAGAAATTATGGACTTATACAGCTGGTTAAGTATTTAGGACTTCTGAACTGAGACTTCTTATAGTCTGCCATTAATCTTCTTGTTGTTGTTGTATATGCGCAAGCGACTCATAGCGACCCTAGGTATAACAGCCCTAAACTCTGCTCTGTCCTGTGCCAATCACACCGTTTCCAATACACCCATCCCGATTACCCCAGTCACTGAATCAATCCACCTCATAGAGGGCCTTCCCCTCCTGTGCTGTTTCTCCACCCTTCCAAGCATGATGTCCCTCTCCAAGGACCTGTCTCTCCTCACAACATGTCCAAAGTATGTTAGACGGAGCCTCAGAATCCTTGTCTCCAAGGAGCCGCCCAGTTTAATCCTTTCCAAGGTTTTGACCTTTCTATTAATCTTAGCAGGATGAATTATGAGAACTCAGCCCTAGGAAACTAATATACCATCCAAAGAACCATAAACCCTGAGTAATAATATTATTTACTGTTTAGCTGTAATGTTTAGAAATGTAAAATAAATGGTCCAAGTATTTGAACTACATTCTCTACACTATATGAATTAGGTAAGTATTGGATATTTCAAGAATTCAGTAGTAGTGGAGAATATGCCCAATGCCTAATTTTTGTAAATATTTATTAATCAAAGAAGAATTCTAGAAACACAGATCTGCTGGAAGTTATGTGAAATGATTATTTTGCCATATTGCCAGAAAGCAAGATAACTGGGAGCTATTTCTACTATCATTTACCTATGAAAATACATGTTTTATTTCCTCATATATAAAATGGAGCCACTAATGCCAGATAATGTTAAGAAGACAAGATAATAGAAAGCACCTAGTGACAAATAATATTATGGTAAAGATCACTTTCTAAAACTGCTCTATAAATGCTGGGCGTTTTATCATGCAACCTCAGACGGAGGAAGGAAGCTAACATTTATTTAGCTTCTTCTAAACACCAGGAAGGTGTGTTTAAGTTAACTTTGCTTCCCATACCACTTCCTTAAACACACCCCTTCTACAAATACAGTTTAAAATACTCACATTTTCACTCACTGTAGTGGCTTTTGATGTAGAATCATTCTTCCTGTTAGTGGAATATAAAAGACAATATTTACTAAATTGTCACTTTCAGCTCAGAGACACATATTCTTTTTTAGTTAATGTTACTCTGATATATTTTCTCAACAGGAAGACAAACATTTATGTTAGCCAGGTAAAACAAGTCAACACTCCTCATGAACTCTCTTATATTTATAGGTGTTACTGACAGAAAAAGCCATGCACAAAACCTCCATGCAGTCAGATGTAACAGATTAGTATATCAATCTGTTTGTTTAGCAGAAACCAGGCATTTTTTTAACTTATTAATACTGAACATTTGAGTGTCTAGTTTTATGTTAATTATTTTACATTCAAAATTCGACTTTTCAATTGAAATTTTATGTGGTGGGTAAAGTCTTAGTCATTTCATTCATTTTTAAACAAATTTTGAGGGCCATGGATTTGAAAACTAAGAGATGTGTTTGAGCATAAAGATAATTAGCCCAGAATGTTGCATGAATTGGCAGAGGCACTGTTATTAAAATAATAATAGTCCAATAATGTGCCCTTTCCCCCTCTGTAAGGTGCTGTCTCTTTTCTCCAATGAATTTCTGTTTTTCCCAGCAATAGTAAAACTTTTCACAATAGACCGAGAGTAGGGTCAATATACAATCAGGTTTGCTCCACTTTTCTGAAGCATCCCCTTTGCTTATTAGCTAGTCCTGATAACTTGAATTTCATATTAAACTTATATTGAGATATTTGTGAGACCTAGAGAACAAGATGAGGAGGAAATCTGGGAAGAGAAAATTAAAGGCAGATAAGGTTTCGAATGAAAGTATCTGGAGGCAAAGCAGCTGATATATAGGGGAATGCTTACAAGACAAATTTGAGTCATTGTTTCTGTGTGAATGAAAAAACCCTTAAGCCCATCAAAAGACATTTCATTGACTGACTCATAGCTTCATTGGGTTTTCAAGGCTATAAATCTCCCAAAAGGAGATTGTTTATGTTTTTCCTGAGTAGCTGCTGGTGAATTTGAACCACTTGAGAGTTTCAGCCTTTGGGAATATTGTTACCTCCCGAAGGATTATGCCAAACAAGTGCACATAAACTGGGGACTTTGGTTATCGCAGCCACAGTCATTCAGAATTGGCTTCTTAATGTCTATCTCCAGCTAGAATACTTTCCTAAACCCACTCCTCTGAAAATGTTCTACACTTCAGTGCACAGGAACTCTATATTTCTCAAACTTCAGAGTCATCTCTTTTCTTATAACTTGCACCTTAGACTCCTCCATATCAAAGCTCTTACCAAGTAAATTCTGATTCACAGTAAACTCATAGGAGAGAGCAGAACTGACATAAAGAGTTTCCAAAGCTGTAATCTTTAATAAGTAGACTGGGAGATTTTTTTGGTCTCTTGTTGAATAAATGCAAACAGCCAACCTTTCAGTTAGTTGCTTAACCACTGCACCACCAAGGTTTTAACTCGCATCTAATCCGTCAATGACTTGCTGAAAATATATCCAGAATCCTATCATCATCACCATCAAGTAGCACAACTTTGGTCCCAGGGTCACCTCTCTTGTTCTTAGCAGAATACTCTGTATGAGCCTCTTCAGAATTAAGATAATGCTACACCCATACTCTAAACTCTCTGATAACTTCCCAATTTACTCAGAACCAAAGCCAAGGTCCTCATAGTTGCCAATGAAGGCCTCTGAATCTGGTCTCATTTCTGCTCAGATCTCGCCCAGGCTCTTCTTCCTTCCCTCACTCTACTCCTAGCACATTGGTCCTCTTGCTGTTGTTCTTAGATGCTTCAGGAATGCCTGGCCTCACCATCTTTCCATGTGTTCTCTCCCCTCTGTTTGAACACTTTTTTTCAATAGATGCTTGCCATCCCCTCGCATGTCTTTGTCAAGTATCAGCAAGGTCTTCCCTAACCACTAAGGTTATAATCATCACTCTTAACCAGTATTATCTCTATCCTCATCACTGTTTTCTTTTTCTCCATAATTCTTATGTCTCATCTGATATGCAGTACTCTAAACTCATGGTGGTTGAGTTGATTCTGATTCCCAGTGACCCTAATGGACAGAGCAGAATGGCAGTAGGGCTTACAAGGCTGTAATCTCTGATGGCCTAGTGGCAAGAAGCTGCACTGTAATACTGAAGGCACACCAGCTGCTCCGTGGGAGAAGGATGGGCAATCTCTGCCCTTGCGATTTACTGCCTCTGAAAACCCACTGGAAGGTCAGCTATGTATGCATTGATTCCGACTCTACAGTATACAACAACAACAATCACTACTGAAGTAAATTGTCTTATATTTCTCCTGTGGAAAAGCTGACGAACTTTTTGGTTAGTAGCCCAGCGCTATGACAACTGCACCATCAGGTCTTCTTTAATATGTGCAGAGTTTATGTATTTGTGTACCCATTCCCTTCTCTACTAGATTATCAGCTCCATTGGATGGAGTTTTTCTTCGATTTTATTTTGTACTAGGTCTCTAGTCATGATAGCACTGTTGGTCAAGAAATATCCATTGATTTAAAAAAACCAAAACAAACAAACCACACAACACAACCCAAATATAAATAAGTGAATTTTTTTAGTAATTTTCAACTTAGTGAAATGCAACAAATGACTATCGAAAGAACTACTAATGCAATGTCTATCAGTCAAACTACTGAACCTATTTAAGTCAAATTACTGAACATACTTATCTAAGTAATCAAACATCATTTCCAAGCAGGCACGAGAATGAGTTACAATGTATTTTTAGATGCACTTGGGTAGCTTTTCATTAGGATTCACTCAATAAAATCCTCTTTTCCACTGAGTCATGGCTGACTCTCCATCGAGATTTTGGAGGTTGTAAATTGCATCAGAGGAGATTGTCCATCTGTCTCCTGTGGAGCTGCCGATGGACTAGGTCACCGGGGCTCCCTAGGATTACATCTATACAAGTCTCCCATATTTCATAACTAAACAAAAGGTTAACAGAAAATTAGCAGTTATAGGGGGGAAAAGGCATGAATTTTGAATAAAGTGTACTTACTGAAAGGTAGTTTCTTCTACAAAAGAAAAAATACATATCATTAGTGAAAGAGTTAATAATACAGCATGACATAAAGTAATATAAACATGAGCTAGAGCATATTGTTTTTTTCTTAATATTAATACTAATTTGTTACTTGTATTTTCTAAATTAAAGGTTGTCAAACTTTTCAGCAATCCAGATTATTATTGTCATTAGGTGACGTCGGGCCAAGTATAACTCATAGTGACCCTATGAACTGCAGACCAGAACCTTGACCTAACTTGTGCCATCCTCATCATCTCCGAAACATGGGAGCCCACTGCAGCTTCACTGGGTTAATCCATCTTATTGGAGTTGTCTTTTCCTTTTCTGACTTTTCATCTTTCCAATAATAATGTCCATTTCCAAGAAAAAGCCTCGCCAAGCAACATGTCTAAAGTATGAAAGAAGCCTCCTTATCTTTACCTTCAAAAAGCACTCTGGCTGCACTCTTTCCAAAATATATCTGTCCTTTTGGCAGGACATATAATACTTAGTCCTCTTCACCAGCACCACAACTCAAAGGCATCAATTTTTGTGTCATCCTTATTCATTGTGACGTACACAGTAAGTTATTAAGAAGACTATGGCCTGAATCTGGTATACCTTAGTCTTTAAACTGATAGCATTGCTTTTTATTTTCTTTTCTAAATTTATTTTTCTACTAGTTTATTTCTTTTCCTGTTTAGAAGGGGTCGTAGTACTAGGGATATTGTAGCTGATGTTAGATGGATCTTAGCTGGAAGCAGGGAATACCGGAAGAATGTCTGTGTTTCATTGATTATGCAAAGGCATTTGACTGTGTGGATCATAACAAACTGTGGCTGACTCTGAGAAGAATGGGAATCCCAGAACACTTGCTCGTTCTAATGCGAAACCTATACTTGGACCAAAAGGCAGTCATCAGAACAGAGTAAGGAAACACTGCATGGTTCAATATTGGGAAAGGCATACGACAGGGATGTGTCCCATCCCCATACCTTTTCAACCTGTATGCAGAACAGATTATCCGAGAGGCTGGGCTCTATGAGGAGAAGCGTGGGGTCAAGATTGGTGGAAGATCTATTAACAATCTGCATTATGCAGATGACACAACCCTGCTTGCTGAAACTGAGGAGGACCTCATGCACTTGCTGCGAAGGGTCAAGGACTGCAGCCTTCAGTATGGACTGAGGCTCAATGTCAAGAAGACAAAGATTCTCACCACTGGACCAACTGGCAGCATCAGGATGGATGGCGAAGAGACTGAGATTGTTAACAACTTCAGTCTGCTTGGCTACATGGTTAACACTCTCGGCATCAGTAGCCAGGAAATCAAAAAACGTATTGCGATGGGAAAGTCTGCTGTTAGGGACCTCTCCAGGGTACTACTGAAGAGCAATGGTGTCACTTTGGAGACTAAGGTGCATCTGATACAGGCTATGGTCTTTGCCATCACTTGTTATGCATCAGAGAGTTGGACAATGACTAAGGAGGACAGAAGGAGAATTGATGCCTTTGAGCTGCGGTGCTGGAGAAGAGTATTGAATGTACCCTGGACTGCCAAGAAAACAAACAGATTCATCCTGGAGAGGGTTACACCAGGCTGCCGCTTGGAGGCAAGGATTCTGAGGCTTCGTCTGACATACTTTGGACATGTTGTAATAAGGGAGAGGTCCTTGGAGGGGGACATCATGCTTGGGAGGGTGGAGGGACAGCACAGAAGGGGAAGGCCCTCTATGAGGTGGATTGATTCAGTGACTGGGGTAATCGGGATGGGTGTGTCAGAGGCAGTGAGATTGGCACAGGATAGAGCAGGGTTTAGGGCTGTTGTACATAGGGTCGCTATGAGTAGCAAGAGACTCAACGACACATTACAACAACAACAACTAGTTTATTTACAAAATTTGAATACAAATATGAATTAATTCTTTCAATTTCCTTCACCGCCCCCCCCCACCCATCAAATTGTACAACCCAATGATTAATCCCCTCTTCCCCCTGCACATCCATATCCCTCTGCTTCCAGCCTCTCCCACCCCTCCTGGATCCTTATACTCATTCTATAATAATGGTTTCATACAATATTTATCCTTAAGGGACTGAGTTAGTTCACTCAGCATAATGCTCTCCAGTCCCTCCCAAGTTAGGTAATAATTTACAAAGTTATTTCTGCTACATGCTGCATAGAATAGCATTGCTTTTAAGTATTTTGGAGAGCTCCCTGATAGTGGACTTGCTCAAAGAAAACAATCCAGATAGCAAACTTTTTATTTAAGCTTTTTATACAAAGAGGCAAAAGTTATAACCTAGATTCTTATTAAGATGAAATTTTCAAAAATAACCTTATTGATGAACTTTTAAATGTACTAATAATCACAGAAGTTTTGTAATACATGTCTACTAATGAAAAGAATGAAATTCCTTTAGGGGAGACTCTCCTAACTGGAATACAGAGTTAACATATATTATCATTACATAGATTGCAGATATCCATCTATAAAAATTATTCTTCACTTGCAGGCTACAGAAACATAGTAGGCCAGATTTGGCTTATGGGCCATAGTTTGCTATTCACATTTTAAATGTAGGCTCAAGAAAAGAATTCATTTTAAATAGATTTTCTGCCACTTGAAAATGGGAGTAAGACCTTATTAGCTAACTCAGTGCCATCGAGTCAGAATCGACTTATAAATGATTCTCCAGCAGGTTGTTTGGAGGCTGTAAATCACATAGAAGGAGATGGACCATTGTTTCCTCTCAAAGCAGCAGGTAGATTTGAACTATCTATCTGCCTTTGAGTTCGCAGCACAACTTCCTATCCACTAAGTCACAAAACTCATTCTTAGCTAGTGATGTCTTATTATGTAAGAAAATGCTTTAGTTAATTTCTTATATTTGTTAATTAAATCCTTATTAAAAACACTGTAACAACTGTTTAGAGAGTTATTCAAGAAAAAACAGACTTAACAACGTTAGAGTTGTTTCTGATGACAGGAATTTCTAAATAGCAATCTTATCTCTTTGTTCTTCCACAGATAGCCAGTAGGGGACTCAGCTGAGTTCTGTTTGTAAAACTGCATTACACTGGACTAGAATGAACACTCTATACAAGAATAATTATTATCAGTCACGAAGCAGTAATAAATTATAAGGAATTCTTTGGAAACTATGTTCATGGAAACAATTTACAACACATGACTCGTGTTTGTGAGTATATTATATATATTTTATAGAGATGTTTAGAAAAGTCTTTTAAATTTGTTTCATTTTAGCATAAAATATTTTAAAACCTAAATTCCACAATTCATGTTCCATTAAATGGTGCCACTGGAATTAATAAGTGTTCTCCAGATTTTGAGTGCTCAGATGATTTTAAAGATTGGGAGTAAAGAAATGTATCAAGAGGAAAAAAATTATTTTTAATTCTTAAGAGAACAAACAGGTTCATCCAAGAGAGGGTGAGACCAGGATGCTCACTGGAGGCAAGGATTCTGAAGCTTCATCTGACATACATTGGACATGTTGCAAGGAGCAATCAATCAGTGCTTGGAGAGGGACATCATATTGGGAGGGTGGAGGGACAGTACAAGAGAGGAAGACCCTCGATGAGGTGGATTCATTCAGTGACTGGGGTAATGGGGGTAGGTGTGTCAGAGACAGTAAGATTGCCACAGGGTAGAGCAGGGATTAGGGCTATTGTACAAAGGGTCTCTATGAGTCACAAGTGACTTGATGGTACAACAACAACAACAACAACATCTCAATCAAATATATTATTTCAGTACCTGGGGGGTTTGGGATTTGAAGTTAAAATACCTGTACACTTGAAAAAAAAAATCCTTATTCAGAAGCAAGTCTAAAGAAATAAGTCTAATTTTTCTTAAACAGAAATAACAGTGTTTCCTTCTAATTACAGTTGTGGTAAATTTTCATTTACTATTTCATTCTTCTACATTGAAAACACTTTTCACTGATTTATTTTGATGAAATTCCTTATCCTAAATCTAGAAACTCTTATAGTGAAATCTATTACCCTTCCCTTAAAAATACAAAGATCTTAACTATACATATTATTGTTCTGTTACATATATGTTGTTGTTGTTATGTGCCTTTGAGTCAACTGCAACCCTATGAACTAAACTTTACCCTATCCTGACCCAAACTCACTATTTCATACACACCTGACCCCATTGCCACATTGTGTCAATTCATCTCATCTCGTGTCTTCCTCTCCTGCACTGACCCTCTACTCTTCAAAGAATGATATCTTTTGTGAAAAAACAATGCATTCAAACTTTCTAAATAAATCAAGTATTATAAAAAAATGTAAAGTTTTTCTTAAAAGAGATTGCTATCTTTCTCCAAGGACTCGTCCCTCCTGATGACAGACCAACAGTATGTGAGACAGAGTCTTGCACATGAATGCCCAATAGTTTGAGCATATTTTCTTAAAAATGTTAACAGCATTAAAAATTTTAAGAGCATTAAAAAGCCTTGATCATGTTTGAAAAAAAAAATCCATTTCTCCAAAGAGCAAATAGGTTTCACCTTCTCCAGGACAGACTTATCTGTTCTCTTGGCAGTCCACAGTATGCCCAATACTCATCTCCAGTACCACAACTCAAAGCATCGATTCTTTTACTGTCATCTTTATTTACTGTCCAGCTCTTAGATGCATGGCAAGCAATTAAAAAGAATATGGCCTAGATCAGATGCATCTTAGTCTCTTGACTGACATCGTTGCTCTTTAGCACTCTGGAGAGGTCCCTGGTAGCAGATTTTCCCAATGTAACTAAATTTTTATTTCCTTTCTGAGGAGCCGCAGCACCCAGACCCATACTAGGAAGCTAGGCTGCTGAGTCTGGTGGCAAACAGAGCCAGGCCAGGAGCCACATGGAGCCACAGCATCTAGATAGATGCTGAGGAACTGGGTGCAGGGCTCATATGACCATCTTTGATGGTGAGCACACAGACTATGGACAGGAGTGACTGGAGTTAGTTTGAGGCCTCACAGGGGTTGGAGCATGGTGAGGGGAGAGGTGTGGAAAAGCAATGCCAAGTTGCCAAATTTATCTGTATTGGGGAAATGTCTGCATGTTGCTGTTCTAGATATAGATATATAGATAGATATAAATAGATAGATTATAGACATATAATAGATAGATAGATAGATAGACAGACAGACAGACAGCCTTGTCTATCACATGCTCTTTTGAGTATGGTGCTTGTCTGTCAGATGCTGTACTAAAGTGAAACTCACAAACTAAGAGATTAATAGAAGCAATGGCCATCCACTTCTGAAATAAGAGGCCTTCATACACCCTAAGAAATGTTACGTGTGTGCACACCTATAAATACCTCCCCCGGTGGCAGTTCTCTCCCAGGAACACTGTAATCCAGGGGTTCCTCTGAAATCTTAGGGGATCACCCCAACATTTTTATAAAGAGGCAATCTGCCCTCTGCTTTCCTAAGTACTACACCATCTATCTGCTTGTTATCTTGGATATTTTCTACATTAGAAAATTGATGAAAAATATTCTCCAGCATCTGTTAGAACCTCTTAAGAAGAAACAGTGTCTAATTAAAAAACTTTGTATTTCCATAGGAAGTTGTCTATGAAAGAAAGATGGAATTTACTCACTTGAAAAGTAGCCTTTCCTCTGAGCGTAGCATACACCAAGGCCACAAACGGAAATCACTAAGGCCACAACTACTACAGCTGCTATGATGCCACTTATATTAAGATCATCTGGAATGGGAAATTAAGCGCAAGTAATTAATGTCAAATAGATGGACAGATGCAGTTATCCAAAAAAAGAGCTCTCTTCTATGGCTCTATACACGGAGAATTTAACACTTTTAAAAAAAAAAAATTCAAAGATATATATTGTTTGAAATGTAAATATCTTTACTATATAAAACTGTTAGAAATTAAAATGATGAAAAAAGATATACAATATAAATAATGACCAAAAGAATTATAATTTCATTATTGTAAAAATAATATAAAATATAAGGCAAGAGATTTCACAATAACAAAAGGCCAATTAAATAGAAAGATGAAGAAAGAACTTTACACTTTTCTTTTTTTTTTTTTAATTTTATTACCGTCAAACCAGATCTGACTGGTACAGGAAGAGAATGTCCCTCCTTCCCCGGTGGAGCATCTGGTGGATTCGAACTGTGCGCCTCTGGGATTGTAGTTGCAGCTCCTTGCCACTAGGTCACCAGAGCTCCCCAGAACTTTACACTTTTAAAGCTTGTTAAAAAATTAGTTTCCAGAACATATTAGAGGCGATGTATGATTGAATATTATGGTTAGAACAGGAGTCCAGAATTAAGGTTGCACAGAGAAGTGTACTCTGTGCGGGGTGAGGGGAATTGTATACCAATGAAGGAATTTTTTTTTTCTTTTTCTTTACAAAGAGAGGAGCGAACTGGTGGGGCAGGTAGAAAAGTGCAGCAATGAATGAATGGAAATCCAAAAACTCTGTAAATGTTTATTAAAATTAATTTTAAAAAATTGTTTCCAGTGGAATACTACTCAGCACTGGAAAAACAGGGAACTCATGAAATAATTATACAAAATGGGTGACCCTGGAGGACATTTGCTGAGTGAAATATTTCAGTCAGAAAAGGACAAATACTGCATAATGCTACTATTCTAAAACAGGACTGACATCAGGGTTGAGGGAAAACTAAGAGGGAATGAGTAATGTACACTGCATTGAAACAGATAAGGGAAAGAACTGTTTAAAAGGGATATATAATTAGGTATTATTTGCATGACATGAGTCCAGAATAAGAGCTGCATAGTAAAGTGGATGGGGGAGGGGGATTGTATAACAATGAAAGAATATTTTTTTCTTTTCAAAGAGAAAATGAACTGGGGGGGCGGAGAGGAGGGCAGGGAGGAAAATGAAAATGTGCAACAATGAATGAATGGAAATCCACGTTCTCTATAACCTTTCATTAAAATCTCAATAAAAAAGTGCAACAATGAATGAATGGAAATCCACAATCTCTGTAAATGTTCATTGAAATTAATAATACAAAAACAAAACCAATAATAAAAAAACAAAACCAATAATAAAAAAAGAAAAAAATTTTCTAGGACATGGATCAAAATTGATTGAAAAATATTTACTGAACTAAGTTTTGCAAGAATCAAAAGTTTAGGAAAGTGCTAAGATTCAGAAATAAAATCTATGGTATTTGCTTAGATTCATTAGGACATGCAATAATAGGATTCAAGGGACTGAATATCAGAATTCATAGGATTGACGTAATCTTAGAGGTTAAATTTAATTTACTCTCGGGGAGCTCTGGTGGCTTAGTGTCAAGAAGCTGCACTGCAATCCCAGAGGCGCACAGTTCAAATCCACCAGATGCTCTGCCGGGGAAGGAGGGACAATCTCCTCCTGTACCAGTCAGATCTGATTTGACGGTTGTGGTTGTTGTTATGTGCCGTCGAGTCGTTTCCGACTCATAGCGACCCAATGCACAACAGCCTAAACCCTGCCTTATCCTGCGCCAACCGCACCCCCTCTGACACACCCATCCCGATTACCCCAGTCACCGAATCAATCCGTCTCATAGAGGGTCTTCCCCTCCTGTGTTGTCCCTCAACCCTCCCAAGCATGATGTCCCTCTCCAAGGACCCGTCCCTCCTGACAGCATGTCCAAAGTATGTCAGACGAAGCCCCAGAATCCTTGCCTCCAAGGAGTAGCTTGGTTTAATCCTCTCCAAGATGAATCTTTGTTTTCCTGGCAGTCCATGGTACATTCAGTACCCTTCTCCAGCACCACAGCTCAAAAGCATCCACTCTCCTTCTGTCCTCCCTAGTCATTGTCCAACTCTCTGATGCATAACAAGCGATTGCAAATACCATGGCCTGTATCAGGCGCACCTTAGTCTCCAGAGAGACACTGTTGCTCCTGAGTACTTTAGAGAGGTCCCTAACAGCAGACTTTCCCATCGCGATACGCTTTTTGATTTCCTGACTGCTGGTGCCAAGAGTGTTGATTGTGGAGCTGAGCAAACTGAAGCTGTGAACAATCTCAATCTCTTCGTCATCCATCCTGACGCTGCCAATTGGTCCAGTGGTGAGAATCTTTGTCTTCTTGACATTGAGCCTCAGTCCATACTGAAGGCTGCAGTCCTTGACCCTTCGCAGCAAGTGCATGAGGTCCTCCTCAGTTTCAGCAAGCAGGGTTGTGTCATCTACATAACGGAGATTGTTAATAGACCTTCCACCAATCCTGATGCCACAATTCTCCTTATAGAGCCCAGCCTCTCGGATAATCTGCTCTGCATACATGTTGAAAAGGTATGGAGACAGGATGCATCCCTGGCGTACACCCTTCCCAATTTTGAACCATGCAGTGTTACCCTGCTCTGTTCTGACTACTGCCTCTTGGTCCAAGTATAGGTTTTGTATTAGCACAATTAAATGTTCTGGGATTCCCATTCTTCTTAGAGTCAGCCACAGTTTGTTATGATACACACAGTCAAATGCCTTTGCATAATCAATGAAACACAGATAGACATTCTTCTGGTATTCTCTGCTTTCAGCCAAGATCCATCTAACATCAGCAACAATATCCCTAGTACCACGACCCCTTCTAAACCCAGCCTGGACTTCCGGCAGTTCTCTGCTGATAATAATAAAAAAAATTAAAAAAATTAATTTACTCTCACATCTCTTGATACTGACTGAAAATTATTTTGTAGTATCTGCTACATCAATTTCTAAATAATGAAAAACCTCACTTAGGATTAAAGTAAGCCTCTGGCACTGTTATTCAGTAAAAGCAATTATCAGAACCATCTTTTTAAAATTTATGTATGTCTCCACACGTGCACACACCTATTAGTAAATCAGATTCAATCGAGTAGAAGAGATGAAATCCTGTGAGATGTTTTCTGGGGTTCTGGTGAAATAGTCTACAGGAAGATGCACCACTAACACAAAGGCAGCACCTCTCTGGTGGTGCGACTCCACCAGTAGCTGAGGGACAAAGATGGGCACTCTCCTTCCGTGCAGTTGATAGCCTCAGAAACCCAATGCAGACGGGCCCAGCTCCACAGCACTGGGTGAGTAAGGCTTTTCACATTGCTATTACATTAGATTGCTAGTATAAGGCAATAAAATATTTTTATTATTCAAGTGTGAAATCACTATCTGTTACTAATCTTTCTAGTGTTTCTCATGCACATTCAGCTACCAACAATTAGATGATCAATCTTCCAAGGTTAGTATTTTTCTAAGTTGGGAACTATACCAAAATACCTGCATTCACACCATTAATAAAATTATTAATATTATTTTTTAAAGGAAAGAACCATGTAACTGGTTATTACGCACTTCCCTTTATCTAGTGCATTTAATTAGCACGTGTTGTGTGTAGCATTCAACAACACATCAATCAACCTTAACATTTTATTTGGGTTACATTCCTCCATCTTGCCAGTAGTGATCTCATTACCCACATTCATTTATCATTTAGGTACTTTTAAAGCTTTGGTGATCTGGTGCCAAAAGGCATGAGTTCAAATGCACTAACTGTTGCATGGAAGAAGAGTGGGCAACGTTCTTCCTCCCTTTCAATTTAGTACCTCTGAAACGTTAGGATGGCGCACACATACACACAGTAACTATATGCTTAAAGGAGCTCTGATGACCTGGTGATAAAGAGATATGTTGCCCAACCAGATTAAAATCACCCACCTTTGGCTTGGTAGTATAACTTGCTATCCACTAGGCCAACTGAGCTCTCTCCAGAGTTGTAGATGACTCACAGCAACCCTATGAATGAAAGACCTGAACACTTGCATAACTTTCATCATTTCTTCATGTTCATGGGTTTTAGCCTTGGAAATCCTGTGGGGTCGCTTTACTCTTCCCTACAGGTTTGCTGAGAATCGGAGTTGACTTAATGGCAACAAGTTTTAGAGTATCACATTAGTAATTTCAGATATTTTGAAGCAGTGTACAGTTTGGGAAGATTTCTTTTACAGGAAAAGATGGTGAAATTTCATCTCACTTACTTTGGGTATTATTTCAAGAGGAACCAGTCATGAGAAAGATATCATACATGAAAAAGTTGAGGGTCAACAAAAGAGAAAAGACCTTCATGAGGTGAATCAATACAATAACTATTACAATGACCTAGAGCATGACAGAGATCTAAGGAGGGTGCACAGCAGGCCAAGGTTCATATTGATGTTCACAGGATTGCTATGAGCCATGGTTGACTTGATGGTGACTAACAACAACAGCTGATCATAAAAATTTTCTGATCACAAAAATTTTATTAATATTCATAGTGTTGTTAACTGTCTCAGCTACTTCTAAAGTCAGGCGTCTCGATGGCACATAAGAACAACTTCTAAAATATTAAGTGTAATTTAATTCAAGTGTAGAGCAGTGTTGGTGGTGTTAGGTGCCATTGAGTTGGAACCAACCTGTAGCTGGCTATATTGAGACTGAGATACAGGAAAATCAAGTAAATGACTCAAGACCTTGTGGGCAGAAAGTGACAAAACTGGGTTTCAAACCACCATACAAACTCTCTGACCTCAAGAAATACACAGACTTCAAAACTTTGTTTTTGTTTAAAAGATTACTGTATTCAGGTTGTCAACAGAAGAGCAACAGAATGTGAAAAAAAAAACCTGAAAAAAAGCAAATAACACTGCTAAATATTCTTGGTCTATGCTATGGACTGAACTATGTACACCCACAGAAATGTAGAGGTCTTCACCCCTGACCCTAAGAATGTTATCTTGCTTGGAACTGTGGGCTTTCTTTTGTTATGCAAATGAAGCCTTAGGAGAACCTCTTTCATTGCTGCCTCATTGCCAACTCCCTAGCCACCAGAGCTCTTAATACCAGAATGTTGTTGTTGTTAAATAACACTAAGTCAGAACAATCTCATAGCTGACCCTCAACCAGGTCTCCAGGGTCAGTAAATTGCATGGGCGATTGCCCGTCTTTCTCTGGTGGAGCAGGTGGTGGATTCAAATCGCATTCCTTTGGGATGACAGGGCAGATCCTTACCATTAGGCCACCAGAGCTCCCTTAGTAGGTTCTAAATCTACCAATTTCTGAGTGGCATCTTATAAAAAAAAGGAAAACAGACACAGCTACAGTGGGAAGATAGATGTCATGCAGCAAAGTCTTGCCAATGGGAATGTCAAGGGTCACCAGTAAATACTAAAAACTAGAAGATAGACTCCCAGAAGAAACTGACATAGCTAAGATCCCAACTTGGACATATATTCTCTAGAGTTGTGAGAAAATAAATTTCTGCTCTTTAAAATTGCCTGTTATTGATATTTTTTTTTGTTATGACAGCACAAATTAATGAAAGTAGCCTATGTGGGAGATGGGTTAAAAACATCATCTTTGACTTTTTCTGTACATTTTGCCAAGCAAAATTTTAACACTCCTCATGTTTATTTATCCTCCAAATCCTTCAGTCCTTTCATACTCCATGCTCTATCCAATCATAAATATTTACACAATCTAATTGCAAACCATTTGCTCCACCCAATATTTCTTACCTACTTGCATTCGCTTCCCAGGACACATGCGATATCCAACAGAATTACGGGCCTCACAGGAATATTCACCACTGTCCATTTTTGAAATAGTGTTAAATTGCTGTTTGTGGAGGGAGATATAAAAGCATTAAACTTTTTTGTACTTTTAATTGTTGGATAAAAGAATTCATATGCATTGTATTTCTTTAATGTAGGTTGTATTTTATGCAATCTTTTATTTACATTTTTTCATACATTCATATGCATTGTATTTTCTATAATTAGCAGCTATTAATCTATGTCCATTATTACCATCTTTTTGAGTCCCCAATGAATCTTTCCTATTCCTTTACACTCCTCTTCCCATCTACCACTAAACTGCTATGTTAGTGATATCTACCCTTCATCTTTGAGCCTTTGGATTTATACACATCTCACTAGTTATCACTCTGTTTTTGTTTTTTTTTTAGTTTTTTTATTATTAAATTTTATTAGTTTTAATGAACATTTACAGAGATT